ATATCGGATTGCCATATCGGATAGGTTGATATAATATCATAAATGGAATCTTCACATACTTGATAATTATATTGTCTAAACATATGAAAAAGTACATATGAGAAGGTCTTCATTTTCACAAGCAACCACCAAGTTTTTGCTTTTGCATAGAAAACCAAATAGACACTAGAACAGCTTAACTGCATATGTTTAGACAATTCTTATTAAAGTATAATAATTATCCAGAATATAAAAATTACTAATACAATTCTTTATACACAACTTTATTTATTAATGTAAAGATTTATTAATTGTTCAATTTAAGAATTTATGTTATTATAAAAGTCACTTCATAATTTTACACTAAAAAAAAATGTTCACATACAAAGCGCGTGCATTATACTAGTAGGAACAAAAAGAAAATTCTACTGAAATTGAAAATTAAACTCGTAATTGCTATTCTAAACTACTTAACTGCATCGACTAACAATTGCAGGATTTTTATTATATATCTGTCATTTCTCCAAACAAGAAACTAGTAAAACCGAAGTATATGTGCACCTAATACAAATAAATTCATGTGTTCTTATAGCCTTCCATTATAAAGAAAACACATGCAATAACAAGTAATTAAAACCTACAACAAGCACCCATATGGGTAGTGGATGGGAAACAATGTGAAACTTTACATAAATAGAAGGTGAAAGATATTGCAAATCATATGATTTCAACATGTCAATGTGAAACCGATATTTCTGAATTTTGGCCGATATTTGATGGCCGAAATGTCGCCCGATATATCCGCTATTTTCCGACATGTCCCCGACATGACATCAAAAACACCATACGCATTAAATTCAACAATTTCGTGGCGGCTAGGCTCCGAATCCGCAATATCGGCCGCCATGTCCGACATGGCGGCCGATATTTAAAACACTGCTATATAGTCAAAATATTGACTAGCTATTTTTTCTAACTAGTACATGATCTTGTATCATATATATCCTTAATTACCTGCCATCGCACTTTGAACATTCATCATCATCATGACCATCTTTGTCATCGTCGAACCAGCTTCTCTGGCATTAGCTTTAGGGTGGAATTTAAGTTTGAGATGGCTTCATGTAAATATTGACGTAATTTATCAGCAGGTATCAAGTACATTAGTAGATGCTGCAATCTTAAACTATGGTGACTATTCACAAGAGTCAGAGACTCAGAGTGCTAGTTGTGGATAGGGAAAGTTTCTTTTTTATCGCTGATCTTGTACAACCTTCAAGCTAATCTTTGATGTCATTGATGAAAAATGTAGTAATCTTTCTATGGGATGCTGCAATCAGCTAAGGCATGAAATGGTCAACAAGATACTAACTGAAAGCAGCCCTTCAGCTTAACTCAAAAACTTTATGAGTACAGCAAGTTTTTGAAATGAATTTATTTGCTCACTTGAACATGGTGGGAAGCATATAAGAATAATGACTGAAGTCAGCTGTAAATACAGGTAGTCAAAACAGAATGCAGAAAATCGCTCTCATCACTGGACAAGATTTCTTAAAGCTACTTGAAAAGAACATTGAAGTTGAGTAGTGGATACCTATCAGGAGGTGCCAACCTACCTACTGAAAAGAGCTTGTATCAACTGCTAGAAGATATGACTTTCATAATGTTTCTCATTAACAACTGACTTAGTATTACACTATGGTTGAAAGGTTATAAGTCTTTCATAAACTCTCACATGCATATTCCTGGTTAGAGTTATTCTATTCTTCCATTATTAATATTCAGAAGTTAAATACACTTCAACCATAATGGTAAGTTTGATGTATCAGATGCTGAAAGACTTTATGTTGTTCAGTGGAACCTCCAGTGTCGTTACTGGTGAGATATTCTAGTCCCTGAATGTGCTTTGAGGAAGATTGTTTGAGTAAAATGTAGCAAGTAAATGACATTTGTTTTCTTCTGTGTGGTAACAAAAAATATAATAAACAGCTATTTCATTTTAGGCTGAGTTCTGCACTATGAGGCAAATGCCTAAATAGTAAAAAAAACCCTTCTACTTATTTCAGTATTTGCTCCTTAATATTGGTGCTACTTTTTGACATTTATCCATTATTCTGTTTATTGGCTTATTTATCTAATCTGATGTAAAGCTTATCTAGGGATTTTTGTTGTTGTTGTTGTTTTTGTTTTGTTGTTGTTGTTGTTGTTGGAAACAATGGCAGATGGTCCACTTTGTCAGCTTGATGCATACTTTTACTCCTTTTGTGTAATATTCATTCAAATCTTTTGTTGATGTGTAATTAATTTGCAATAGCCTTCTTTATCATTTTCTGGATCAATTGACTAATATTTTCTAGTTACCATGAATGTGATGACAACACATTTGTTGCAGGTGGTACTTACTGATGGTGATGAATCGACTCTAGCAAACATGAAGTACAATCTTGAACTGAATAAGTTACCCTTGGAGACCAAGGTGTTGCAAAAAACAAATGTAAGTTCACTGGTTGGGGATGGACATGGTATTTCTTAAATTATAGTTTATAGACATCAGATTTTCTTTTCATGACTCACTAGTATCATTAAGTATCAAGATTTAATGTTGCACAATCTGGAAGGAAGTTAACCCCTTAGTTTCAGTTATAAATACATCATGGGAAATTGTTGAAATAGTTAACATATATTATTAAGATGAGAAATATGTAATTAAGTATATAGAAATTGTATTAAAAGTAAAAAAAGAAGTGAACAGAAGACACAACTAAAATAATAGTTCTTACTGTTTGGTGGTAGCTCTTGAATAGGATAGCTTCAGGCCTTCATGTTGTTTCTGTTATTTGTTTGCCCATTAATTGGAATAGGTATGACCTTTGGCCCTTCACTCCGTCAAGCCCCTTGCGGAAACCAGTTTGCTAGAATAATGGGGAAGATCCAGTTTGCTAGAATAATGGGGAAGATAGATCGTCAGGCTGATTTATTAATTATTTTTTTGTTTTGGCGGGGGAATTCTGGTGTAATGACTAATTTATAAAAATGTGTTTGCGCTTCAGAAATTAGGCTGTCAGGTTTGACCCGACTAGAGCCATAATTGATTATGCAATCATATTTTTATTAGTCAACTTATTTAAACACATTTAAACGGGTTGACCACAAGTATGCATGGGCCTACTTCGTTACGAAACTGGTCCGAATGCGCTTACGCAGCCACGTAAATCGAATTTTAAACATTGAACTTAATGAAGATTTTGATTGATCAGATATGCATTTTGCATGAACTAAATGATCACTATATCATTATACCTTATGCAGATAGTTAAGACCCTTAAGATTTATTGTTAATGATTTCTAGATTAACTACATATCATCTTCTCAGAATCACATATGTTTAGAAAATTATGAATCCATGAATTTAAGCTCATAGGTTGGTAGACTTAATATTATTATAAATACTGACTGACTTAGATTAATAAGCCCAGAAAAATAGTTTTCTTGGACTAAACATTTCCGAGTATATCATGCTAAGTTATACTAGATTAGCTGTCTAAGCATGATATGATAGTCCTATTTTTATCAGGACTTCTTTAGTTGATTGTAGATGTTAAAGTTTATTTAGTTTATTTAACTTCTATTGCATGATTTTGTTGATTCACCAAGTTGATAAAATTCCATTTATTGTTGATTTTCATGAGCTTATATTCTGTAAGCATGTTCTACTTGATAATCATGAGTTCCGTAATTCACGTCACTGGATAACAATGAAGCTGCTTATACAAGTTATAGTGGTATAGCCACGTGAACCTTTGACTATATAGTATATGGTTATGGCTCATCTGTTTTAAACATCTTGTAATTGTTTGTATCTTGGAGATGGGTCTTAGGAATTATCATAAGTTTATCTTCTTCTCTAAGCATGTTTTGCTCGATGATGTTCGGTAATTCACCATATATGATTAAAAAATGAAGCTGCTTTCCCATTTGTAGCCATCCGAACCTTTTAGTACATGGTTATGACTCATCTGAAAACACCCTAGAGGGGGGAGGGGGGTGAATAGGGTTAATGCTAATCTAATCTGATATTAATATCAATTAAAACTTATTAACAAATATATCCTAGCAAAATTGATTTATAATGAATTATTTGCAAGGATATGTAAACTAAGGGCAAAATAAACATGAGCAATAGCGAAATAGAATGAAATAAATAATGAGCACAAATATAACGCCAAGGCAAACTCAAACACACAATATGATCACGGAGTTCGGTCCTTCCGATCTACGTCTCCGCTCCCCACTCCCAGGGAGAATTCTACTATCACAATAGGTTTTTAACGTTCACCCAAAACGTTTACACCTCACAATCTCGGTTTTTTAGCTTACCGAAAACTTTCATAACTCACACTCTTGCAACCACACTCTACAACCTCAAGTGTTGGTCTCTCACGTGTCGCCTCCCTCAAGTGCTTGGCTTTACTACCTCTCCCTAGACTTTACTATTGACGCCACACCTCTTGGTATCGGCCACGTCTCTCACTACACACTCCTCTCGGTGTACTAGTGTATTACAAGGTGATCTCACAAATAAGCATAAGGAACATGTTTTTTCTCTACAATTTATGAGAACTCAATGTAAGCTCACTCTCAATGTTACAAACACACAACCCCAATTATACTATGTATGAAAATACTTAAGCTCAAATGGGGGTGTGTAAAAAATGAGTGAAAATGAAATATAAACTCAATTAAAGTCTAGCTTATGGAAATGATAATCAAACGTATAAATAACTAGATATTGAGTTTACAAAACTTCTCCAATGAAAAACAAGAGAGAGATGAGATGAAAGACCAAACACAAAATGATGATCTCTTCTGCCTCTTGTGAAAACTTCTTCACAAAACCAAACTTAACACACTTGAAAACTCTTAAACAAACTTGTCCAAAACTTGATTTAAATTTTTCTTAGTTGACTCAGAAGTTATGAGGTATGGGTATTTATAGGCTCATGAAACAACCCAAAAAATCAAGAGAAAACAAGCAAAAAAGACAAAAAACCCGAAAACAAAAACCCAAAATCTGTGCATTCTGGAAAACTAGCCGTTACAGTGTTATAAGTTGACTTGCTACAGTACATAAGTTGACTTATAACTAACCGTTACAGGTTGAAGAACTCATATAAGTCGACTTGCAAAAGTGACAAGTCGACTTATAACATATAAGTCGACTTGCTTTGGTGATAAGTCGGCTCAGCAGATAAAAACTGTATTTTTCCAGAACAGTTCATAAGTCGACTTGTCTTAACCATAAGTCGACTTATAAACATGCACATGCAATGTTCATGTATGAAATCTGATTTTTGAAGTGCCTTAAAAAATAGCAAATAAATTTTAAAAAAATGTAAAACTTTGAAAAATGTTTATAAACATGAAAATAAACATGTTATAAAAAGAAATTTTCAATTTGCACTTCCCATTTGTAAAATCTCATCATTTTGCAAAAACACTCAAATACATGTTTGTATAAACACTTGATTTTTTATTTTTGACTTAAACAAAAGTTTGAAAACTTTTGTATGGCTTTATAGACTTAGGAAAAGATATAAACTAGTATTATCAAGTCCATAAACCAAGAACATAATGTTTTATCAAAAATACACATATTATGCAATCTTTCAAAATAACAAACATGATTTCAAATCTTGATTTTACTGAAATCATATCAAGCACATATAAATATGAAACGAATATGAGTGTATACAATTTGTATTCATTTGTTTCATATTTATGTGGCTAAGCACATTATTTCAAAAACAAAAACAATAAATATGAAATATGTAAGTATATAAACAAGTATATTTATTTCATATTTATATAAACTTGAAAGCTATAAAACGAAAACTATGTGTGTGAGTAATGTTGAATTCTTAAGTATTAACACACAAGTATAAACTCTAAACTAGTTTGCCTAAGCTGAAAGATCGTCAATATGCTCGTTTTGGTTGCGGATGAAGCTTGATCTTGAATCTTTGACTTGAATTGTATTGACTTCATTCTGATATTCCTTCCATCCTCCAATGGATATGATCGTGAACGCACAATTCTATCCAACCTCCAACATCAATGTTTGTCTAGAATACCTAATAAACAAATACAAACACTAGACAAATGAGGTTAGGGATTATTTGTAAATCATCATCAAAACAAAGGTACTAACATCACCTGTTATTAACGTCTTGTAATTGCTTCTATCTTTGGAAATGGATCTCACTTCTCAGGAATTATCATGATAATATTAAGTCTACTGTGTTTGGGCAGCCACTGATACTGTTTCCTTATATGAAATTGACATGCCATAACTTTAAGTTGTAATTAGATTTACATTACAAAAATTAAAGCGCTTGAAGATTTTTACACTGTTTATGTACTAATTTGGGAGAGCAAATGCCAAATAGTTTCTGGCAAAAGCCAAAAAGGAATCCTTGTCTTTTGCCATGCCTGTCAAGTTTTATTCATTAATTTATGCTTGGTGTGGTAGACTGGATCAGAATAGTTATTTGCTTAGCATCTGACACCATTTAAGAATAGTTATTTGCATAGTGTCCGACATCATTTAACATTTTCTGAAGTTCTTGTCATTTAAAATTTTCTTATATATTCTTTCTTTATGGAATTTTTTATATGTTCTAATAAGGTCAGTTCGCAACATTTAGTATTAGAAATTTATTGAAGTTTGTTGCTTCTCATATCCTATATCAAATTTTCTGTTTGGCTTGTGCCATATGATACAGCCTGTTGGGATTAAAGGAATTTTCTTGATGTGAGTTTGTTAACTGACATAACCTACTAACTGTACGGTCTATTGGTGCGATTAAGGTTTGTGGTTGGTTTTTTAAATGCAGGTAGCGCGTTACTTCGAAGTAGTAACTACTGTTTACGATTTATTTGACACCCATGAAGTGTTAACTAAATGGCTTTTAGAAAATAATAGTAGTCATCGTAGACAGGGCTTAGGTAGTACTATTCAACAATTATTAGCCAACTTTAAAGGTAATACATTGTTGACCCTATTTTGAACATCCTGTGGCCGTGGCATCTTGAACCTAGTGTGACTACCAACAGTACTGCCATTTTGTGGACACTCTTTGCTATTATGTGTACTGATTAGATTGCCATTTGTATGATATTTTAGCAGAAAAGGAGGACGGGCATAGTTGCATTTTTGACACAGCTTAATATAGTTGGATTCTAACTGTAACCTTTGAGGATAATTTCATAACCAAACCTGTACACATTTAAATAATATTGCAAGAATTAGTTAATTTTAGTGAGTTGTGAGTATTGCTTTAGTCAAGAGCTGGTTGTATACGGATGATAGTGCAAACACGTTGTCAGGTTCAATCAAGCGGGTTCCTTTTGTACTTAGAAGGATGTGTAGTATGAAACCCACCAAATGGATGAAAAAGCAATAAAGACATATGAAGTTCCAAAGTTTGTATACAA